CCCATGGGCGGCGTCATCTGGTTGTGTGCCGCAGGAATTTGTAATTTATTCCAATTTATTTTCATTGGGCCTTGTCCCAGGGGCGGGTCACGCAGCTGGTAATCCGAAGGGCGGTGACCCACAAAAGTGCCTGGCAAGTCAAGTCAGCCCGCGTTAGCTTCAACGCCCCAAAGCCCAGCAAACTGCCAAGGCCGCAAAGGCCGTTTGACGAAAACGAGCGCAAAAATTTCAGCTCGTTTGGGCCCTCAGGAAACAGTTCTTTCATTTGAAACGAAAAAGCCTTCCACAAATGGCAATTGATGTTCGCAAAACAGCAAGACGATTCTCAGGAGGTTTCTCAACAGTGAAGAGGCACCAGTGAATATGCAAATCTTGAAAAAACAAAATCACTCGTCCATTGTTATGTGCTGGCTCGTTAATGCGGACAGAAGATGACCGAAAGGAAAAATTGGCTCAAAGCATCTTCATCCACTCAACCCGCCAATTTGCCTGAAGTCAGGGAATATTGTCCGATATCTGTCGTTACTGGATATGAAGGTTAGAAAGGAACCATGAAGGTAAGGTCATGAAAGGTAAGAAGGACCAAAAACCTGCTTCAACTTGAAACCCGGGTGCCGGCCATTTCGTCTAAAGACAGCTCGTCTAACGGACAACTGGTCTAAGGACATTACGTCTAACGGACAACTCGTCTAAAATTTTAAACCCCATTAAACCCCAAATCAGAAAGGAAACTTGAAAAAAACTACCCCCCCTCCAAAAAAAAAACTAGAACACCCCCGAAACCGAGAACCACCCTCATAGCCTTCATGACCTCTGTGACTTCATGACTCATGCCCCGAAACGAAGGGCATCGGACAATGCGACGTCGGGCGGAAGGCGATAGGAAGCACCTCACCTCCCCGTCAACGGCCGCCCCCTCTCACACAATACCTCCGATCTCGTCGACGGTCATACGGTCCCCCCCAGGGCCAGCGGACAGCCCTCGCCGGGTCCCCGTCGTGGCTTGTCTTGTCTTGTTCCCTGCTGCCCATATGTGCTCTCACACGCGGCCCATGCCAGCCACCCTCACACAACCGGACCCCCGCAGCAGCCCACAGCCCGCTTTCACCCACGCCCCGTCGGCAGCTGCACCGGCGCCATGGGTGCCAAGGTCCTGAAAGTGAAGAACCGGAATGAGTTCAAGAACTACATGGCCGAGAATGGGCCCGCCAAGAGGGTGAGGGCGCAGCGCGCGATGCCGCTTCTGCGCTCCGCGAGAACCGCGTCAAGGCATTGGCCGGCGGCCGCCTGTCGGAGCAATCGCGGGCCAGGCCCAGCGTTGATTGCCTCCATCGATGCGGCCCCTCTCCGCTCGCTGCCCCTTCGCGAATTCGCCCGTCGTCTATTCGCGGCAACGCGTGCGGCAGCCGACGGAGTGTGCTGCTCGACAGATGGTGATCGACTTCTTCGCCACGTGGTGCCCGCCTTGCCGGATGATTTCGCCGGTGTTCGAGGAGCTGAGCGCCAAGTACGGCGGCCGCGTGACGTTCCTCAAGGTGGACGTGGACGAGATTCGGGTGAGGGCACGCACAACCGGACCTCCCGCCCCCGCCCCCCGGCTGCTTGTGTTGTGTGCTCATCTTTGCGCAACGGAGGCTTTGCGTCATCTTTTCACAGCGTGTAAAGGAGCCTCGCATACACATGCTTAGGAGGGGGTGCCCTTTGCATGACGTGTTTCTTCTCCCTCTAACAAATCTTACTCCCCCACCCCGTTGGGGCAAAGTGCGGCCTCGGCGCCGGACAGCGAGGAGCAAAAATGGACGCCCCCGGAGTAGGCAGATGTCTGTCGGAGGAGATGATGTCGTGGGCGTGCCGCTGTCCCTGTGCCAGTGGAGTTTGTCGGTGCACCACTCGCTGCTGTGCACGAACAGGGAGGCCTGGGGCATGTGGGTGGCAGGAGCAGGCCGCACATCTGTGGCAGGAAACCTGACCAGGAGCACCGGGGCGCAGGGAGGTAGCTAGACCTCTCGGGGAGCAAGAAAAGCGGTTCTGTCAGAGGGAAAGGGGTGGGATGGGGTAGGGTGGGGGGTGGGAGGGCCCCAGCAGGAAAGGAATGACGGGCTGGAGGCCCGGGGAGGGAGGCATTGCGCCTGACTTTTCGTTTGCCGTCTGTTGGCGATTGGGGCTGGGCTCTGACGGCGAATTGCGTGTCCCATGTGGCAGGTGGCAGCCCAGAAGTGTGGGATAGAGTCGATGCCCACCTTCCAGGGCTACTACAAGGGAAAGCTCATTGGCCAGGTGGCGGGCGCCGACAAGGAGAAGCTGGAGGAGTTGATAAAGAAGTGGGTGTTGCTGGTGGTTGCATTGAAACTGACGGTTCTCTGTGAGGAAATGGGAAGATTCTGCGAGAAAATGCCATGTCACGCAACAGGCACCTCCTTCGTGAGCAAATATGTTTGTAAATGGCGACTTACATCCATTGCTGATGTTGTAAAAACCTCTTGAATGCAGTAGGAAGGCACACAGCACAGAACTCCAGCTGGTGAATGGCATATGGCTGTGACTGGCTTGGGGCTGTGAACCTTTGTTGTTGTCGTCTGTGAGCCAAGAAGACGACAGACACAGCAAGAGGAATAAAGGGCAGTGAAGGGTGGGAGTTGCCTGAGCCCGGGTTGCGAATTTGGAACAACAAATGACCTTGTTGGAGACACTGTTGTTCTTGCCAATCATCAGACAATGCAAGATGCTTGAGAGGGCAGTGCTCAGAGTGATAAAGTTTGTTGCTGGTCTCAGCTGCAGAGTGCGTGTGCAGGGGTAAAGGAACTCCGCACGTCGGTTATATTCAGTACCTTCCTGTGTGCTGTGCTGCATCGGGACGCTGCAGTGCTGGATTGGCCACTGGCACTGTGCTTGACTCCACCTGTTCAACGGCATTTGCCATTTTGTGACAAAGCACTCGTGTGCACATGGGCAAGGATGTGCGTTGATGGGCTTGTACCCAAGTCTGTGTGGCCATTCACCCCATGAACGAACGGGCAGAGAAGCAGTGCAGCACACATCATGGAATGTGCTATGAAATCTTGCACAAACTACCAGGCGGCTGACAAGCTGGGAATGCTGCATTGTGGAGGCATTCCATGGTCTGTTTGCAATCTGGGAATGAGTACTTGACATCGACTGCGTTGCTCACACGAATTCACACACCAAGTGCAGATAAGAGTGCCCACCATTGGGGATAAATGCCATGGCCATGTACCCCAGGAGAGTGCATAAATTTGCAACTATCCTGTGTTCAGGCCAACACCTTCCAGTATTGAGACTCCATGCGATCAGATTGGCAACAGCACAACAATGAGAAACCCAAGCCTGTTTGTGTCATTGTGCAGGGTCGCTGAGCTAGGCGACGAAAACGATGAGGATGAAGGGGGTGAGTGGTACGACCAGCCAAAGAAGAAGAGGTCCTTCTTTAAGAGACTGTTCAAGAAGAGTTCATGAGGTCACAGCGCAACTGGCACCGATGTGAGATTGCCAACGCAGCCAAGCAGGGACGAAAAGATTGGGTGGATGCTCATCTGCCAGAATCTGACCAAGAAGTGAGGAAAATTGGTGGCAACCCACTTTGCCTCGACACCTGTGACTGGATCTTATGACGTATGGCATGGCTTGTGTTGCCTTCTGCTTCCAATCTTTGGCCGCTGGGATGTTTGACACTGCTTGTTGTGCCCCCTCAGTCCCTGGGGGGACCTAAGACTGCCCTTGTGGGCAGCGCCACGGGCCTGCTGCGGGTATCCGCCGTCGTAATACGGAAGCGAGAATCTGGATGGAAATATGGTTTTCAGCACGAAAGTGTAAATGGAGAACAGGACTTGATGTTTGGGAATTAGCTGTGCCACAGATGTTTGGGACTTCCGTGCGGTCCCTTGGGTAAATAAGCAGGCACACTGGTGGGTTTTAACGGACATCCTATGGGCCTCACTTGGCCATTTCGCAAGGATCTGCTTCGGAAGGATGGCTTGGTGTAAGGTGATAGCGGTGCAGCCAGACAGTAAGGTGGCAGCAAGAGTTGAGTGCTGGTACCTTGTGCCCATTGAATACACTGTACCATTCTGAGTTGCTACTGCCTGTTCTCAACAAAGCACGCCAGCCGCACACTCTGCCAGTGCAGGCTTTCTCCATTTCTGACACGAGCCCCTATAGGTGGTCTTCCCAGTGAGATGGCCGCAGGGATTGTGCCGATCTGTTTGATTATTATTTGCCAACGGGAATGGCAACATTTGACGGAGTTCACTGCTGTGGGATACTACAGGGATGTCAGCTCGCCTGGCACTGCGGCGCCAGAAAGGCGACCGAGACGCGTGCAATGCCACGTCGCTGCCGTGCCAGTGGCTGCACCCGTTTCAGGTGGCATGGAGATGCTTTGCTCGATGTCCGAATACTATACTGGGAACTGTCTCTTTTCCGGGCACTGTACGGCTCAAGAAGACTAGTATGGAGCGACGAGTCAACAATGAACTGAAATGCATGCTGTCCAAGGTGACATTTCTGGGTGGCAAGGGGGCATACGGGGTGCCACCCAAGGTAAATCTCGACACCACGATGATGCGACAATACCCAGTGGCTGCTGGGTGGGCGTTGGATGGATACTGGAATCATTTGTGGCAATCATTGCCACATCATCGTGGTGTTGAGATTTACTTCGGTGTTGTGATAAATGTCCCAGAGCTAGTTGCGCTCGGCCTGAACGACCGTCGCTCTGAAATCGCTCATTCAGGCGAGCTGCTACCGACTGGGATTTCAGGTTCTCACCGGATGTTTCACACTAGTATGTGCTGTGTGGGATGGCATGATCAGGCCATCCAAGAACCTGAAAGAAGGAAAGCTGCCCCGTCCGCCGGCATCTGTACTTGCGGCCATATCGCCTTCATACAGTGTTTTCTTCCTGTCATCTCCTTCCCGTTGTCATCATCATCATCATCAAAAATTCTTACGTATCAAGGCGAGGAGGTAGCCATCAACTCCCCATTTCGCCCGAGCAGAGCAGTGTCTATGAATTGTTCCATGACAACCAAAGGCACTGCCATAATCCAACCATTGAGTCGCTGTCCATCAGAACGCACAAACTTCACAAATTCAGTATGACCAAACCGTCTTTACCCTCTTCCTGGTGCCTCAATGGGCGTCCGGAACTACACGGTCATGATTTTCTTTAAGGCAGCGAAGGGCTTTCCCGCCTCGAGCTCTCTGTGCCAAGGATTTGAGTCTGGCGTTGCAGTTTGGAAAATCTGTTCTAGTTCGCAATCCATGTGTCGTGGCTGACCGCATTCAATACACACCATCATGTGCATTCTTTGACAAAGGGAATGATCAATCATTGATTGTGGAATCCTGTTCTTCACCAATTGGGGGTGGGTGTCGTGGTTTCAGCGACGTCCATTACCAGTGTAATTTGATCAGTTGCTCAGCTTCTGACGACCATTATTATGCATGGTTGTTTGTGAGATCAATCGCCGACAATAGGAAAACCACTAGACTGGGTGTTCAATGAGCAGAGCAAGGTGCAGAAGCTGTATGTGGAACAACCCGAACGTGAGGAGGACGTCGTAGCACACGCTGAGCGATATGGCTAACCCGTGCTGGGACAGATTCATTTGACTACTATCAATTTGTGGTCAACATGAGATAGCGAGCCGTTGGATGAAACTTAATTCTGCACGCCCTCAACCGAAGGTATGCTTCAGCCATGGCAACCAAACTGTGCACAAGCATCGGTCTGAGCACGCAACAGTGACAAGGGGACACATCCCACAGGCGCACAAGCACAAACACGCCTAGCGAGCACCCACCCACAAGGGAAAGGGTGCTCAACGGCCAAAATCAAACCGATTGCGATTAAAAAAGATAGAAAGGGAATGAAAACCCGCTGTCTTCAGCCCTTCCACACTTACTTGCCAATGCTCATTCTGTCAGGTGCCCCACATGCAATTTGAAGAGAATTCAAGTCAATTGCAAAAGAAACAAATACACAACTGTTCCTCCCTATTGCTCCTTCACAGCCGCTTCTAAAAGAAAATGATTACTAATGGGCTCGAAGGAATCAGTCCTTATAACAATTGCACAATAGTTCCTGCACTGAGCAAAATCATGCTCAGTCAAATATAACGAGAGCCGTCCTTCAGTACTGTCCCACCGTATTACAGACAAAAGGTGCACCCGCAATTTAGCAAGTGTGTCAAGGTTTCGCAAGTCTTCTCCCAACATCACAACTTCCATCACAGAGGAGCTCACTGATTTGCCAGGGGCGACTGGGATGAGCAAGCACCCAACGCAAGGAGGATTGGCAGCACTGAACGAAAAAGATTCGACTCGCCTTGCCTCATCTGCATTGGTGAAAGTGTACCAATGAGACTGTTGCATAGACACCGGATGCCCACACAAACCAAATGGGATGAGTTTCCACCGCATAAAGTAAGTCAAGACTGATCGAAATTCCACTAAAACAGCAGAGAAGTTGTGCGACCGCTTCCTTGAGATCGCCGTAGAATGGGCAATCGGGCATGGCGACGTGGCCACAGGCATTGCCGCAGCCCTCACCTTGTTGTTCAGCACGTTCTCAAGCACGCTCGCAAGCCAGTGGTGGCTGTACCCCCTCTTACACAACGCCACAATAGCATGGAAGAATGTCACCATGGTCAGCGGCGAGTTTTCTCTAAAGCATGGTTGCCAGTCTCGGGGCGCCGGCAAAACAATGCAGAGAAGAAGGCTGTACAACCAGCCCTCAAGTTCTGGCTTCCCTGCCAGGGCAGCGGCTTCAGTGACTGCCCATTGCGGACAACTTCCAACTAGTTGGCCTCCAGTGTGCTCCAGCCTCAGCAAACGAATCAGCTGTCCAGCATCCGTAAGCATTGTGGAAGTGTGGATGTACTCTGCCAGATGCTTGTACAGAGACGTTGCGAGCAATATATCATGCCTTATATGCCCAGCATGGGTGTCCTCCACCGCTCTCCGCAGCAGAGGACTGAAGAAGAGGAAGGTATTCAACAGCCCCGTGTAGTCCGGAACGTTGGACACAGATATTTCGTCCCAAACTGAGGGCTGCTGGGCTAGAGCGACGATGTGCATGTCGCCTGGCACAATTTCGATCGTCAGTGCCTTCTGAGACACCAATCTCTGCATCGCGGATGAGACAGACCAAAACCATGCAGCCACATGTTCAAAGATGGAAAGGCTCTTTGTCATCTTCTCGGGCCTCCCCGATCCAGAGTTGCTTGCGTCATGAATACCCCTGAAGCGCAGCTGTGCAATCACATCACTGGTCTCTGCTGGCTTGATAAATGGAAACAAATCATGTTGTTCCAAACTCACCGTGGACTGTGACAGCACAGTCAGATTTGGTTTCCACAAGCAAGCTGCAGGTCCTTTGTGGTACATTGAACACTCTGTGTCATCTAACTCCACACCACTGCACTCAAGGAGCATGCTGTATACTGCCTCAACCTTGCGCTGGTCCTTGCCCAACCGTAGGCCTGCATCAACCTTAATGAAGTCCTTGTACTTGCGAAATAGTTCCGGAGGAGGAGACAACAATCTCTCCTTTGCTAGAGCCTCCTCCAAAGCTTCTGTTAAGGCTGGGATGCGCTCCTTCAGATCGCTTATGTTGGTCGCCTCTTCCACCTCTGCAATTTGCCTCTCAATATATTTGATGGCATCTTCCTTCAGAGGGCCATCCTGGCCCACCATCTCCTTGAATTGCGCATCTGGCGTCGCCTTGAGTTGAGCAATCGTGTCCCTGTGTTGTGATATGATGCTTTCTTTGGATTGTTGAAGCAGGGGGCCAAAAACTTCATCTTGACGTTGGTCGAAGCGTCCATCACCGCTTCTGGCAAAGAAACTGTCCATCCACTCCATCCCAACAGGCTCAGAGGCCCAGAAAGTAAACACCCTTTGCAGCTCCTCCCAATCACTTGGTGACACTCGAATCCAGTCCCATGTCGAGGTTGGAGAGGCAGCCAGGGACTGAATGACAGCCATCAGCTTGGCGTAGTGGTGGGGCAAGAGAAAAGGACCGCAGTAGGTGTGGCACACCAGCGTCATACCTTCAAGGGCTGCTGCATACTGTGCATCTTCCTCTACCTTCTTCTGACGCTCCGCAAGGTCCTCCCACATCTCCTGTGGCCTGGCCCGGTCAGGCACGTCCCTGTGAGGGTTGTAGGCTTCATTGTCCAAGTGATCGTGCAACAGCACCAGCATCACTACCGTTCGAGCAAGCTGCTCAGGCACCACATCATTGAGGAGGAAATGCAGCCGCGGCAGCTGGACAGCGCCTGGCGAGCGGGCCCCCGGGCCCCTGTCCACGATCTCCACCGCGTCCCGAATGGTCTCCAGCGCATGCCTGGCGTCCCCGGACCCCCCGGAAAAGAAACGAATGGGGATCCCCCTCTCGGCCCTCCCTCTGACGAACTCAACGGCCTCGAGCTTACTCCTCTGCTCGGCAGCGTGCAAGTCCGCCGGCAGAACGTCGTCGCCCATGCCGGCAAACATATCCCCATCAACGTGCCCCGAACGAACCAGAAATGACGTCGGCAGTCCATGTCCGAACACGTAGTGCTCCCTGTGCGTTCTCGGCGACGGCCGGACGACGCAAGCGCGAAGATCCATCCCACCCCCTTCCCCAACCCCCCCTTCCCCTCCTCCCCCCCCACCACCAGCCTCCGCCTCCGCCGCGTCCACCAGCGACGCAGCCGCCTCGCCCGCGCCAGCCTCCGCCGCGCGCCGTCCAAACTCCACCGCCCGATCCCATCTCTTCAGCAGGACCGACGCCCTCGCGGCGCGCATCCACAGCTTGGCGGGCGCGGACGCCCTTTGAGCCGCCTCTGCCGCAGATGCCGCCGCCTCTTCGATCCGCCCGAGCTCCAGCAGTGCCGCGGAGACGTTCCCCAAGGCCGCCGCGTCCCCGGCGTCGGCGGCCTGCCGGTACAGCGCCAGCGCCCCGGCCAGGTCCCCCGCGGCGTAGAGCCTGTTGCCATGCTCGCGGATGGACATCGAAATGGCGGCGGATGCGCGTCAAGCGTGCGGGCAGCGATTGATTGTGCGATCGCCGCAGGCAGGCCGTTGGCGCGCGGGCAGGCGACCATGAAAACGCCGCAGGGCGTTCCTGGCACAATAGGGTGGTCCGCGCACGCAGATCGGCCCCGTTTGGTGCAGGGCTTCGTCTTCTGCCGAGCCTGCTGCGTGGGCCTTGGGGCCCACCCAGGCGCCAATCGATGCGGCGCTCATCCGTTGAGACACATTGAAGAAGAATATTGAAGAAGACGGATGGCCTCGATGCCGCTGAAAATGCAGCGCAGGCCGAAACAGAGCAGAAAATGGGAAAAGATGTTGCGCCACAGGCGGCCTTGGACTGATGCGGTGGTCGCCTGGCCCATTGATGCCCCGGTGTGTATTGTCTTGGCGGTTTGAGGCTGAAGCTCTGCACACCAGCAGGCCGCAACACACAGCAGCGCACACAAAGCGTGCATCACCTGTTGTGCAGCACTCTTAATTAAGCACCTTTCGTTGCTTGAATAACACGCACCCGTGCAATAATGAAGTACTGGTTAATGGCAGTGGAAAAATGCCTCAAGATTGTCCATGCCCTTCAATGTTGGGCAAATTTAGTTCTGGAAACACTTTAGGTAAAGCTGATAGCCATCCCTCGACGAAGAACTGGACTTGCACAGACCAACCACCACAGCATGGATTGCACTGCTGTGGGATACTGCAGCGACGTCAGCTCGCCTGGCAGCGCGGCGCCAGAGTGGCGACGGAGATGCATGCAATGCCACATCACTGCCACGCCAGCAGCTGCACCCGTTTAGGTGGCGCGGAGACGCTCTGCTCAATGTTAGGATGCCATTCTGGGAACTTTCCCTTCTCTGGGCATTTGTATGCTTCAAGATGACGTAATCGTCAAGCCACGGTCGTGTTTGTGGTGCCAGTTTCACAATTGGCATTCCAAATTCTAAGCCACATTAACGTTAATTGTTCTCAAATATTTGGGAACAATGTGCTCGTGTCGAATGGGCGCAAAACCTGCTGCGAAAATATTCATTTCACCGGGGCACCTATTGACCAACGCGGCCAGACTCCCACTTGAAGAAACGCCGGGGGGGAGGGGGAGGGGGTGGATGGCAGCGCAGTTGAACGCCGGCCAATAATGATTCGAGTACTCGAATCATGTTCTACACATATGTATAGAACGTACATGCATGTACCGCCGTCCACATGATGCAGCAGAGGGCACGAGGGAGTTGCGTTGCCCCCTGCAATGCCTTACCTCTGCTTAGAATGCATGCAGTACTGCATGCCATGCAGTAATTGATTCACTAAATCAAGCCGCTGACTGAGTGGTCAAGCGAACGGAATACTGCCATCATCGCCAAGCCACCTTTATCTTGGTTTGCACACCATGTCCTCCCTGTGGGCAGCCGTTCATCTCTCCAAGTGTTGCCGAGCATGAGTATTCAATCTGCACTAATTTCGGAAGCCAACCTTCGCTTTGCCCCACCTTAGAAGATGGCACGACCATGTCTACCCATCGAGCCCACCCAAAAGCTCTTGTTCATCACACTTTGATGCTTCAATCAACACAAATGCATTTGCTTCGAGTCGACACGGGGATTATCTCTCCCAGTCGGCGCCGCGCAGCCGACATTGATCGCACAAGGCGAAGACGCCCCTCCTTCCTAGGCCGCAGTACATTATGGCCCTCCTGCCCGCCCCCTTGGCTGGTAGGTGCTCAGCCTTCACGTGCCATCCAGGCCCGGACGGCCTAACGGCAGCTGAATCGATCCAGTCGAGCAGGAAAAGCAGGCGGCTGGCTGCTCGTGCTGGCACAGTCCACGGGTGAGTCACCGGTAGTGACTCCATCGGCAGTGCAGCGTTTGCTGTGTGCCCTGCTTTGCTTCGGTGCCTTGCCCTGCGCGTGCTAGTGCCACCTGATGTCAGTTGGTCGGAATGTATCACCCATTGCAATCTGTTCCTTGTTGCCCCCGATGGCTCCCTGGAGGATCATCCAAGTCATGACTTGGATCGCCACCAGCGCCTGGCTGGCCACCCGCCCGTACCGCGCCTTCGGTTGTGGTCGCGAGATCTGTCCCGCCTCCCTCCGAATGGTCCTCGGAACAGGGGGCGCCCCAGATGAGACGTTGCAGACAACTTGTGGGCGGAATTGCAAGCAAGCAAACAAAAATGCCTTGAACGATGGACGGCGGGTTTAAGGGAAGGCGGGTTGATGTCGCTGCAGGAGCTGCCCGTCAGCGTCGCGGAGAACGCGCAGATGCCAAGCTGCCTTGATGGCAAACATTGCGAGAGCAGGATGGAGTCATCTGTGGCGATGCCACCACTGATCGTGGCGTTGGACGCCGACATGGCAATCGTGACCAATGGCTTTATTGAAATGGTCCTTGACGGGCTTGGCAGCAGCTGGCAGTAAATTGCGGCTCACATTCAGGTTTTTTCACCCAATTCGTCCCAGCACAGTGCGATTTGCAGAAGACGACCCTTCCTCGATTCGGAATTGAGTGCCGTCCGCGGTGGTGGCGACACGACGTATATGCCGGTGGCGGAAAACCGTTTTGCAGCTGCGAATGCGCGACGCGGCACTGCCATCGCAGGAACGCAGTTTATCATGTTGCATACTTCTTTTCATATTTCCACATGTTTCTGTTGCTTCTGCAAGGTACTTTTTTATGCTTGCAGCATTGTGGCAGGCAGCCGTCATGGCAGAATGACTCACTGGCGGCGGCGATAACGGATGAAAAATCCATTTCCGGCTCGGCCCCCGACTTTCGCACCCGCTGCGAGGAGATATGGGATCCAAAACCATGGCTCGGGGAAGCCTACATCCGCGCCACGGAGACGCGCCCACCCCGTTCTCTGAAGGAAAGGCACCGCCAGAACGGCGTTAATTGTAAGACGTAACCATATTTTTTAAATTTTATTTGGCCAATACTCATTTTCAGAATTCAATATTGTTTGAAGCAATCATAACTGCAAGAGACTGAGTACGAAACCGTAAGGATTGGCAATTCTGCACTACCATTGGTTTGTTCAATATCTAGTAGAAAACATTAATCCCAACTGCTGCTCCCACTGGATCGCCTGAGAGGCAGCCCTGGCAGGTTAGCGGCTGTTTAAACAGTGTGGAGCACTAATGTCCGATACCCTGCATTTCAGAAGATAAATGTCACGAAGGTCTTTTTAGTTTTCCGCTTTAGGTTTTAAGGACTCGTGTTTTTTCTCGTTTGAAAGGTCGAACCGCAACTTGGACTAGATTGAACCTTACTTGGACCGGGTTTTCCCTCCACTGAGCGTGGACTAGCTTGAATCTCAATGTGGACTAGGGTCCTCCTCCACAATCATTTGCAAATCTCTGCACTGAAGCATGGTCGTGATCCATCCTCCATATTGTCATATCATGTCAGGATCAATATATCACTGGCTAATCTGTGATTCGGTGTCCTGAACTACCGGCGTTTCCGGGGCCTCCACGATACAATGGACTGACGTAAATGTTCCAAACACTGTTGCGCCGGTAGTGCAGGGCATTCTTCGCGAAATTTAATGAAACGCTGCCGCTAATCTGGCGGGGACAAGGGCACAGTTCCAATTTTGAACACGGCCTGTGTTACTGGCCACCACGGGAAATAAAGTTAGCCCCGCATTCTGCCTGATGTACCGCTCATCTTCCGCAACCACCTCCCCCGTTGGGCTGCCCGTCATCTCTTCCATGACATCTCTCAAGTGAGACGCTAGATTTCGGCCAACGGCGCAGCGCGGCGGCACACTGGTCAAAATTCGACCATTTTACACGGCGCCCAATCGTGTGGAATCGTGTTAAAATCATGTAATAATCGGGCGCTTGCAAACACGATTTTGCACGATGCCAAAATCGTTTAGTTTCCAACCCTGTGTAGTACACGAAAATGGCCCACCTTACCACCATGAATATCAAGTTATACAGCACGATTTACACGACTTCAACCGTGCACCAGCGGCAGCCGTGTACTGCATGATCATTAAACGATTGGTACACGATTTTTACGCGATTTTTACACGTATAACATTGTACACGATTTTCAGGACGGTGCGCTTTGGCATTTTTTTATTAGTGGCAGCAGCCTGCAAGAGAACCCCAGTTTCATCGCTATTGAAAACAAATGAGTGAGGCATTGCCCGCACTGACACTGAACAGGCTGACTTGAGTGGCCTAGCACTGGGCATTGGGCCATAATGAAAGCTTTTTAGGTTCTTTTGTTCCAACTTATGGTGCAGAGTAACATAGATAGAAATGGCAATCGGCTCGTCCATTGCGTCAGGCGATGGAGAAGAAGTCTCCTAAGCGGAACTGCATCTAGGTGCATCTCAGAGCCAACTTGAGCAAGAAAGATCAAATGCGCTGCGCACAATAAAATGGCAGAACAAACTGCTCCTGGAAGTCATTGTTGCTGTCCTTGATAAGTTGCCTTCCATGAAAGTGAAGTGCGCTG